AAAAAAAAAAAAAAAAAAAAAAAAAACTATATACTACCATTATAGTGCTAATATTATTTTTTCAAGTATTAAAATTTTCTCAATATGATTTATCAGGAGAGAAAATTAAAAAATTGAAAGATCTCGAACATAATATTTGAAATATATAAACTATTATTTAATTATTAAGTTTATTTTCATATTTTTTTAATTAAATGAATATTAATTACCTTTGGATTAAAAAATAAACATATATAAAATATACTCTCGATCAAAATATCATAAATTTTAAATCCCACATGTTAGATCGTAGACGATGTTGAGTGAGGTAGAATATGACAAAGACGAACCATATGGATACGTGTCGCATTAGGAGATGAGTTGAGACCAAGGCACCGATGGTCGCTTTTATGAAGGGAGCCAAGTCGAGCTTGCCTTTTTATTTTAGTTTTTAGTCAAGTATTTTTTTAGCATATATTCTCTTTAAAATCTATTTTGTTTTAGATTTTCTTTTTTGGTTTATATATTGTATAGGTTACATAAATAGAAAGTAATTATGACTTGAAGTATATAATAATGTTACTATGTACATTGTTTTTGTAAATAAGTATGAAAAATAACACTTTATTAATCATATGTAATTACTTCCAAACCATTCAAAGTCTTTTATTTATATATATATATAATCTAAAGACTTTTTCGAGTATAACACTTCCAAGTATATTCATCCATATAAATGATATCAACTTAAAAGTAAAGATATTCAAAGGGATGACCAAAGTGGGACACCAGGTAAAGAGATGCCTGCATCAACAATAAAAATGTTACCTGAGACGTAATTAGAAGAGTCGTGCACCAAGTATCGAACGATTGTTGTTAGTGCAGGCTCTAAAGTTCCAAAGGTTTTTAGAGGAGACATTGTCATTGCAACCTTGTTAATCCAATCTTTTTGTAAGAGATCTTTTGTAATTTCCGATTTAAAGAGTCCAAGCGATATAGAATTCACATTAATTTTGTGAGATCCTAATTCCATGGCCATAACCTGTTACAATAAATAGCTTTTAGATTATTGTTCTCGTAATTAATTATAGCTAAAGCTAGCTATGTGTAATACCTCAAGCCAACCACTAGTAAATATTGTTCTATTTGGACTTTTACTCAAGGTTTGTAAAATGATTCTTCTAGAGGTTTACACACCCTTATAAAAATGTTTGTTCTCTTCCCTAATTGATATGGTATATCACAATCCATCCCATCAGGGCCCAACTTTCTTGCTGACACTCAGTTTCTTTCTTTCATCAATGTGAGACCCCCAATCCATGATCCCACATTGATTGGGGAGGAGAACGAAACATTTTTTATAAGGGTGTGGAAACCTGTCCTTAGAAGGCGTACATTTTAAAAACTTTGAGAAAAAATCCAAAAAAATAATATTTGCTAGCTATGAACTTGAGCGGTTAGAGTCAGTAAGCTAAACATTTTCAAAACTTTACCTTTGTCAAAGTGTTTAAGCCTGCCTTTGAAATAGTATAAGCAAGGGCACCGCGTTGTAGTGCTCTATTAAGACCACTAATAGAAGAAATGTTGATGATAGATCCACCTCGATTGGCATCACGCATGTGCATGGATACGTACTTCGATATCAACCACGCTCCCTTAAGATTTGCTGTCATGGTTTGATCCCATTCTTCCTCGGACAAATCTAGAGGAGACTTTACCGCCCCTATGAGCGATGTCATAGCAAATATTTTTATTACAAATGATGAAATCTATTTTAAACTATTAATTTATAATAAAATAGATATTAGCCCAAATATAACAATATCTACTAGCGGTGGACCTCAATCATTACAAATGGTATAAGAGCCAGACACTGGGCGATGTGTTAGTGAGAAAGCTGTTTCCCGAAAGGGGTAGACACGAGGTGGTGTGCCAATAAGGACGCTGGGCCCCAAAGAGGGGTAGATTTGGTAGGGGTCCCACGTCGATTGGAGAAAGGAACAAGTGCTAGCGAGGACGCTGGGCCCTGAAGGGGATGGATTGTGAGATCTCACATCGGTTGAGGGAGAACGAAACACCCTTTATAAGAGTGTGGAAACTTTTTACTAGCAGACACGTTTTAAAAAACGTTGAGGGGAAATCCGAAAGAGAAACCCCAAAATGAAAAATATCAGCTAGCAGTAGATCCGGGGGTTACAAAAATAATATGTTAAAAGTACTATTTTTTTCAAAGGATGATGGACTTACCTCTCATACCAGCGTTGTTAACTAATGTGTCAATGAAGCCAAATGAATCCCAAGCTTTTTTTATGTCATTCTCGATACTTCTTCCATCCGCGCTAACATCAAGTGTCACAGCCACTGCTCGGCAGATCTCCACCTCCATCACAGAGGAGGCTCGGGAGCAGGAAGAAACCGACGACAAAGTTAAGAAATCGAGTCGATTTATTTCATCACATAGAGATTGGAGTCTATCGGTACGTCGTGCGGCAGCGATAATTTTGCATCCAGCTCTGGCAAGATCGAGACAAAGCTCACGGCCGAGCCCCGACGATGCTCCGGTGACCATCACTACTTTGCCGTTCAAGTCATTCCATATCTCAAGCTCTGGTTGTATCGCCATATGAGAAATGAAGTGGTTCTAACTGTGGGTAAATAAATAAAGAAATTGGATTGGAAATTTCACTAGAAAACTTTGACTATTCATTCACCAAAAGATCACTTGTCCGGTAATATTTTTCATACATTTCTTAAATAAAGTTATATTTTAATTTTTTTTCTTTTATTTTTCAAATTGAAGGTAGGTTAAATAATAAAGCACAAAAAGGTGAAATTTTTCATTTATTGAATATGGAATTTTAAAATTTGGGAAATCAAAAGACATCAACTTAGTTAGGTCACTCTATCCACAAGTACGTTGTTTCCCATCCAAAACCAAATGTGTATACGATCATTTCTTACTATTTTGTTCGTTTGAAAAGATCTGATTCTAGATAGTCTTAGAACCTAAATTTCAAGATGGAGAAGAGGAAAATTCTTAGAAAAATCTTAAAAACTAAAGAAAAAATAGTGAAATATTGGGTAAATCAGTCGAAGTCCACCCGAGAGGTACGATCATTTTGACCCCTTGCCTAACTAGAAGTCTGATCTATCCCTAATTAGATGGCTAATGATGAAGGAAAGAAAATTGAGGATTTAGGGTTCTTGAGAGAGAGTTATAGAGAAAGTCAAAATCTGCTACAGACCGCAGTTTGAAGTTAGAATTTCGCTGGACTTCCTTTAATAATAAAAATGAGGATTTTAGGTATTTTGGAGCTTTTAACACAAGGATAAGCTAGCTTGAGAAGACAGTATCATCCAAGTAAATAGCCACGACTTTAGGCAAGTAATATTTGTAGGGATCACTAGGAAGTGCTAGCTTTCCTTACTTTAGCTTGTTAGAAAAGGTATGTTAAGGACTTGGAAATGCCATTTTTGGATGAGTATGCATTGTATGTATGTTATGGTAAAAATTATCATTATGCCTCTACATTGAGATTTCTGAGAAGCATGTTGTTTTATGTATTATGCAAAGTTAGAAGAAGAAACAGACATGACTAGAATACGAGTTGGGAAATATGGATGAGTATATTGTGCATGATGTAAGAAATTGTAGAATGGCCCTATTATGAGATTTCCGTTCACCATGTTTTCTGGTATGTTTTCATGATATAGTATGTTTTAGTTTCAGGTGTATGACTGTATTTTTCCTGTAAAACATGTTTAATCTACATAGAGCTAGGACATTAGAGTTAGGTTTGCTAGACGATAATCTAGGTTAGGACGCTTCTAGTAGACTGAGTACCTTAGAATTGTTGGCAACCATTTTAGGGTCTAGACCGTAATGCTCCCAAACTAAGAAAGACTCGAGGAGTCAGAACAGAACAACCTAGAGCCAGAAGTCAATGTTTAACCACCTAACTGCCCTAGGAATCCAATATACCTCCTCAGCTCCCTAGCATGACCAATGCAAAGTTTAAATTATGGATTACGCACTTAGGAGATCGATAAGTAAATCTCCCTAGAAAACCATGTATGAGAGAACTCTGTTAAGATTAGGGTGCTACAACGAGTGTAGTTTACACCTTAACCTAGGTTAAAAGTGTTTTAACCTAGGTTAAAACTTTTTCCAATAGACCTTACACTCCATAATCATAAGCAAGATTAGAAGTCTAAACTTGGATTAACCTTGATGGGCTAACCCCAGCATCCTAAGATGAGATTTAAATTGCCTAGAAGCAACTAAAAACCTAATAGACCTTTATGCAACCAAAGACAACCAAAGTAGTTCTTTAGGGGGAAAGCAGCATGACAATGTCATTAGAGTCTTTGCTTCCTACCAACTATGGTACCCATACCATCGAGGTAGGCACAGGCCATATAGAGAAGATGCGTAGAGATGACTAGGTGCCACAACCATATAGAAATGTCCATCGGTCTCCTGAATAGAGACTCTTTGTTGTAAACTCGTTCTTGAGAGGGGGGTAGGACAACAAAGGTTGACCTATTAGCTGGCTGACACACAGGAGGTCATTCTTCCCAAGCTTTAGTGACTTTATGGTCCGATGAAGGATTTTCCAGCTAACCTTCCAAGGGTTATGTTTAGATTAGCAGACACCATATTATCCCTACAGAGTATACAAGGTCGCACCTCAATTCAAGTCACCAGTCATTTACTATGTAAGCAAAGTAAGTAACCACAGTGAAAGAACAAAAAGATTGTAACAACTCAACAAAACAAAGGTAGTATCTCGATCATTAATAGTTGGTATAGTGTCAACAATATTTCCACTTTCCTTTCCACTCTTATACCAGTATCGTCGAGCTAGGCCAAGGTTGGTTAGGGTTGTGTGATCAATAGTGCAATTAGATTATTCTGCATAGGATATCTATTCAAAGAGGGGAGGTAGAATTATGCGGGTAGTCTGAGCCACTGAGAAGCACAAGGGGATTGCTCCCCCAAGCTTGGGTGACTAGATAGATTGTCTTGTAGGTAGAGTTCACCCGCTAACATCCCTAACTGATGAGAGTAGACTTGCACACACCATGTTGTCTCCACAAAAATGTGTTTGAGATAGCATTGCAAGCTACCTAAGTTTAAGAACATAAAATTAGTTTATTCAGAGATGAGATGTGTCGCCCACAAGACCTATGATGCTAGAAATGGGTGATCTACCCTCCTCATGTCGAGAGTGGATCCATGAAAAGCTAAAGTCCCATTTCTCCGGCCATCTCTCACCACTCCTCTAAATACTTCAACAAACTCATTTGTAGACACCCTACCTTATAGTAGTAATTACTGTCCAAAGAAACAATTACTCCTTTGTAGACACCCTACCTTGGTAATTACTGCACAAACAAACAATTACAGCAAAAGAAACAAAAAGAAAAAGTTTTCATTAATGGCCGAAGAAGGTGAAGTTTTCATTTAGTTGCACGAGGAGGTGAGATTGTTAGAATTAGATTTGATTTAATTATTTGGATTAGATTTGTTTTCATTTAGTTGTAGGAGAAGGTGAAGTTTTCATTTAGTTGCACGAGGGGGTGAGATGGTTAGGATTAGATTTGATTTAGTCATACCATATTTAGTTGATTCTGTAATGCTATATAATTGCAAATTTCATTCTTCAATAATAGATTTCTCCCTTCCTAACTTTGGTACCAAAGTGATGCCCTAAACTTAATCATGTCAATAGAATCCTCAAATATCAAACAAAGAACTGTGACCCTCGAAGATGTAGTTAAAAGTGACTAAAGTGTTGAACAAAGTGTGTACTTTGTTCAAGGGTTCCAGAGAAGGGAGTCGAACCTCGATTAAGGGGAGGCTATTCGAGAGCTCCAATAGTGTACTTTGTTCGAGGGGAGGATTGTTGAGGGTTATTGGGAATGAGTCCCACGTTAGTTAATTTAGTGTAAGTTCATGGGTTTATAAGTGAGGTGGTACGAGACCAAGCCATGAGAGCTTATGCTCAAAGTGAACAATATCATATCATTATGGAGAGTCGTGATTCCTAACCAAATATATATAAACATTCTATTAGTCACATAAAACAAACATATATAAACATTCCAAGATTCTACTCATGCATAGTCTACCTAAAGTGTATAAACATTCCAAGATTCTACTCCTGCAAAGTATCTAATACATGGACCATTGTAAAATTTAAATAAATAGTTTGGCAGAAGTTTGAATTTGAAAACCATTGTAACACATGCATGATCATGCAAAGTATCTAACACATGGACCATTGTAAAATTTAAATAAATAGTTTGGCAGAAGTTTGAATTTGAAAACCATTGTAACACGGGACCATTGTAAAATTTAAATAAATAGTTTGACACTAGTACCTATTGTTTCACATTTAATAGTTAATAGGGGTTTTTTATGCTTTTGTTTTGAATTAAATGTGTACGTTCATTTAAAAGTGTTTATTATAAAATTTGGCATATGTTATTTAAAACGTGCATGTGGTGATGTCGTTAGTTTAAGCAAGAAAATTAGGGGCGTCACAGTTAACTTTGAGGCACCCCAAATACTCAGGTAGCAGTAGATACTAGGTTCAACTTCTTAGAGTCTAGAGAAAAGCTTTTGGATACCTACTAGGTTAAGGATGTAATGAGAGCCTACGAGTAGGTTGTTTACTTAGTATATTTATATACTCGTCCATTCCCTCCTTTTTCAGGTGTTTGGAGGCTGCTGACCAAGGTGGAGGAGTGTTCGAGGGTTGTGCAGTCACAAAGGGGGTCATTCAAACTCCACGGAATTTTTTTTTTTTTTAATTTTTGTGTTATCTTTATTTTGATTTAAATTTTATCGGATTTTCATCTTTTATTTTTATTTCACTTTAATTTTTTTTCTTTCCGTCTTTTTAGTCTCCATTCGAGCTGGACCTTAATAAATCACAAGAGTAAAATCTAATAATATATAAAGTTTGTATCTAAATAAAGAGTAATGTGTAAAGTTTTAAATTAAAAGTAAAAATAATAAATAAAGATTATGTAAAAGTAATTTAAAAGCTGGAAAGGAAAAGAAAATAAATTAAAAAAAAAAAAAGACGAAAAAAAATCTAAATAGAAAAGTAAAAATGAAAAAGAAAAGAAGGGAAAATGAAGTTTTTAAATGGAGGGGCATTTTTGTAATTTTATATTTATGAATAAAAAAAAGATGAAAAAAATCTTAGAAAACACTCAGTCTCGATGAGAAATTAAAAACTCAATTCTTAGAAAAATTTAAGTAACTCAAAATAAATATATATATATATATATATATATATATATATATATATATATATATATATATTTAATAAGTGAAAATCTAGAGGAGCCAAATTTGTTTCACTTGATCCATGACCGTAGGTCTAGCCGTCGCAACCCAATTCGCCCACCTGACCCGACCTGTGACCCGCATCTCGCTTGAGTGCATGGCGACGTCATAAATATAGGAATTATAAGACCACGAAGGATTAAACGTGTTCCCTAAGAGTTGAAGTTGTGAATCAAAAGTTGTCATAAGTCAAGTGAAGAGTGCATGTACTTCCTTCCTTATGCACGTGGCCTTGTGCGTATGTCGTTTCCTC